AGCATTTGTGGTTGATGAGTTATAGCCGTTCAAAGGTAACCAATCACACTTGCGTTTCTTTTGTGGGCCACTGTATGTGATTTAAATGTGAAAATATGCTAATTTTCAATTTACTATTTGAGTTTAATAAAGTGAGTCTATACAAAATCAATCATTATTTGATATTTATTATTAATGATTTAAAATCATTCTAGCATAGAGTGATATATTTGAACATAAAGAAAGTAGATATATTCATATTACATTAGTTTTATTTTGTTTGATATTTCAGTTGCAAGAAAAATATGCAGTTATATCTTGATACTTTCATTATATTTTAAATATAAGAAAAAGGCAAATTATGAAAATCATAATTAAAATGATGTCTCAATTAGTTGTAATAGTAACAAATAAGCATTACAATATTACAATAAATTGCAATATTATTAAAATTCAAATTGCAATTAGTGACAAATAAGTATTATAATATTGCAATGCTATCTTTAATTATAAGTATAATTTTATTAAAATTAATGATATAGATAAATAGTTTATTATCAAAGATTTAAATTAATATTATTAAGATGTAGCTGAATGGAATTATTATAGTTCGAATATTGCAAGAGATCAATTTGTAAAAATTATTGGTATAAGGTAATCTGAATACTTATATTTTAATCTAATTCAGTTTTTATCATTATCTATTTTTAGGCATTATAAAGTAAATAGTTAAGCAGCTTTGAATTAATAAAAAGGTATTAATATTAGAATTACTAAAAAAAATTCAAAGAAAATAAATCAGTTTTAAGTACTGATTAATATAAGTAGAATTTTAGAAAAGTGAAATGTGATAAAGGTTTCATAAATTTTATAGCTGATTAGTAATAAACATTTTTTTATTTATGCTATTATGTCACTTTAAAAGTATCTTCCTGATAAGGATAGGAAATTTCTTACATGCTTTGTAAGAATTTGCTCAATTTTGGTTAGACAAATAGTTCAATTTGAATTAATGAAAGAAGTTCACCAAAAGTTGATTAAGGTTATAAAATTAATTGAGAAAAATTACAGCTAAAATATGATAACTCTAAATCTTTATCTTTCACTTGATTTATAAAAGATTTTAGATCTTTTTATGCCTTTTAGTGCTTTTATTCAAATGTATAAATGGTATTCTAGAATTTTTACTTAATAGTAATTAGAAAATTGAGCTAGAGCTTATACACTATATTATGAATAATAATCAAATTAGTAACATTATTAGTTATTACAAAAGATCTAAATATACTTGATACTAGACCTTCAGTCAATTTAATTTTAAAAACTGATGAATTTACCTCTGATGAAATGGAGCTATATTTACTATACTTACAAAATATTAAAGAATCTTCAATTACTGGATATGAAGCATTTTTAGAAGAAATGCTAAACCCTTCTTTAGAAAGTATTTAATGTCAAACGAAATGCTTAACTTAGTAGTTGAATATTATAATATGACTTACTTAAGATATACTTTTCAAAGACCATTTAGAGAAGACCTAAATATTCAATTATTATTTATGTTAAAATAAATCAATTCAGAAGATGCAGCTCAAAACATGTCTTCTTGTCTGCAAAAATCACTAATGTTAAGTTACTTTCCTGACCAGCTTAAAGCTCTGATATTAACTCTATAGAAAATATTTGGTTGTATATTGAGGTTAAAATTTATTAACGTGATTTACAACCATCAAGCATTATGCAATTAGAGCAGTGGGTCAAGAAGGAATAGGATGCAGTGCCTGTAAATTATTACCATAATTTAATCACGGTGAATGATTGTCTTACAATTGAATTTTAATATAGCTTTGCTTTACAGAAAATGACACATTTCTCTAAAATATTATACCATACAAATTCAATTAATTACATGACAGAATTAATTTTAGTAAATTTAAAATGTAATTAGTGTAAGAGATCCCTTCAGTCAATCAAATTGATCGATTTTTATTTTGATACATTTGATCACATGCTTTAGCTTCGCTAGAAAAAAATTTTTAAATTTATTCAAGATAATAAAATACAAAAATCAAACTCATACAATCATTCGAATTTCTAATTCTTATAATGAAAAATGAAAAAAAAAAAAATCAATTCGAATTTGAGTTGTTGATAATACTATTCTATAAGTGAGATAGCAGTTTTGATGACCGAACAGGTGGCCTCAAAAAATTTGTTGACTAACAACCCCGTATCTACAGTGTTAAGATCATACACTGGAAATTCTCCAATTATGCTGCGAAATATGTTAACCATCTCATTAGTAAAATGTGTGATTTTCCCAAAAAAGTAGATGATGTTTTTGGACTTCATCTCCCCTAACACACTTTCTGCAGTTAGACCGTACGGGTCGCCATTAGGGTAGCTATCATCATTGTTTTTGTAACGACTGCCGTGTGGTGGATAGTCTCCGATATGAAAAATTATGCGGGCTTCATTGCGCCAGGACATTTGATTTACGGCTGCATTGAGTCCTCCTAGGACGTCTTCCGGGGAATCTCCACCGCCCGTGGCTGAAACAGTGGATAAGTCCCTTTCGAAATGCACATACGATTCAGTGAAGGGAAAAATCTGCAGGCGATTAGCAGCATCACAGTGGTCGCGATAGCCACAGAAACTGAATCGAATTTTAACACTTGGCTTCAACTTTTCCATGTGGTTTGCCACCTTTAGGATACAGGCTTTAGCAGCGTTAATGTGACTCCCCATAGAACCAGTACAGTCCATAACAAAGCAAAGGTCTACTTCCATTAGATATGTATATCAGTTATAAGTCTACAAATAACGTATCAGAATAGTAACAATTAACTAAATACAATTTGATTTATTAGTTAATATAAGAGAATATTGTTCAAAGAGGTATAAAGTTATGAAATATCTTTTTTTTTTTTTTTTCCTAAAAACGATCACAGAGTTGTTATTGTACATATGTGTTTATATATTAGAAGTAATCATTAAATAAATAAATATATATAATATAAATAAACTAAAAACGAGAAAAAAAACAAGAATAAATTAATTTATCTCAGATGCTGTGCGACAGAACATTTTTAGTGACATATATATGTGACAAGATGCAATTGCCACATAAATTTAATTATCACATGCTTGCAAAACAAGTATATATATATAGAAATATGTTGTTATTGTGTATGACGCCAAAATGTTGGATAAAAAATCCAATGATGGGCATTATGAACGTCGCAAACAAGAAAATAAACAATCCAAGAATGAGCGTTATGAACGTCTCGAACAAGATAATGCTTCATTAACAAAACAATTAAATGAAATGCACGAAATCAGACAAGAAAATAAATCGTTAAAAACTCAATTAAGTGATATGAATAAAGAACTTAAGAAGAAAAAAAAGGATCATCATAATTCAAAAGCAAAGCAAGAAGTCAACTCAAAACTAATGAATTTAGAAAAAGAACTGAAAAATTGTAAACTTGAGCTTGACTTACAAAAAGGAAATATAGAACAAGAATTTTTAAAAGAGAAAGAAAATTACGAGAGGACTATCGATAATTTAGAACTAAATTTAAAGAAACAAAAGAAAATTTTCGATCAAGCATTGCAACAATCACAAGAAAGACATAGTAAGAATATTGATATTTTACAAAAAAAATTAAGTGATAAGGGAAATGGTTTAAGTGAGTTAGAAAAAGAAAATGCCAAACTTAGATTTGAAGCCTCTAAATATCAATCAGCACTTGGTGTAGCGACAAATACGCGGCTTGGTGATGATGATCAAAATCATTCGGTTAGATTGAAACAAGATATCTTAAATTTACAGAAATCATTAGAAAATTATGTAACTCATTTGAAACCTAATGTTGATATTGATATTGAAAAGATACAAACCCTTGCGCAGGAATATGGTTGTTTAAATGAAATTAACATAGAAAATAAGCCCTTTATTAAGGCCATTTTACAACGCAAAGTATTGGATCAAGTGAAATTTCTTTCCTTTATATTATCTGACCATCGGGGTATAGATGTCTCACTTGAATTGGACATAGATTTAAAAACACGAGAATTGACAAACTTAATCAACATATTCTCTAAGCATCGCGTTGGTACTGACAAAGTTATTGATGTGGCAGCAATAAAAATACGTCAAGAAGTTTATGGAATTCTTGGGAATCGTGGATTCAATGATACGATTTGTTTTGATGCTGATGGAACTTCTAAAACTTTTACGCATGAATTCATAATTTTTGCTAGCCGTGAACTTAATAACATGATGAATCAGTATCGTATAATCAATGATGTTGCTAGGAAAGAACAAGTTGAAGCAATGGCACCAAAACTTATTCAAGATATTTACAAATTAATGTGGTTTCGTTTTAATGTACAAGAACCGATAGTGAATCTTCATTATTTTGAAAAGGATGACAAAATTGATCCAAATGTGATGAAAGGAAATTGGAACGATGACGATGATGATATCAATCAATTACGTGTAGGTATTTGTTATTTTCCTCTCATTGGGCGAGATTTGACGTCTTCAAACAGAAAAGTGTATACACTTGCAAATGTGATTTCCACAAGCTATAATCAATTCGGATGAGATTAACGAAGCAAGCAGATGAGGTAACAAGAATTATAAATTCTCAAAATTTTACGCAGACAAATTTTATTTTATTTTACTTTTTTTTTTTTCAAATCAATTATATTATATTCTTTTTTATTATGACAAATATTACAATAAATAAAGGCAATTTTGTTATTTTTTCTTACATTTATAATCTTTAATTGTCTGCTTTGACGCAATAAACAATTTTAAATTTAATACGCGTGCATCTAAAGTTATTGATTACTGCGCCATGAGAATTGAATTTGGAAATTACCGAAAATGGCAATGATCTTGTTTTTATCACAATCACACATTTTTTATTGATTCCCAAAACAGAATTGTCACAATATTAAGTAATAAGTCGTATGATGTAACTTTGTATTTTTGTTTATCGAAATCTTTCTTTGTTTCCAAAAGGGATTAAAAAAGGGACTAATTTGCATTATCTAAGTCCAAATTGAGTCATTAATGGTAATGGACACAGATCTTTTTTTATTTGTTGTTTTAAATCAAAATCGATGGGAAAAAAGGCGTAAAAAAATGTTTGACATTTAACTTATAAAAAAAAAATAAAGATAAAAAAGATAAAGATAAAATAAAATAAAATAATATAAAATAAAAAAAAAAAAAATACAACTAAATCGGACCTAAAATAGATATTCTGAACTATTTCGCCAGTATATATCTTCAATTCTAATGGTTTTCTGAATAACTACTACTCCCTCAATGAAACAGCAGTGTTGATCGCTGAACAAGTAGCTTCAAAAAATTTGGAGATCAATGCTTCCGGGTTTCCTTCTACGATCTCGAGATCAAACACTGAAAAATCTCCAATTATACTATGGAATATATTAACCATCTTTTCGGTAAGGTTATTGATCTTACCAAAAAAGTAGAAGATGTTTTCCGATTGCATTTTCTCTAGTACATTTTCTGCAGTTAGATGATTTGGGTCGCCTTCCGGATAATCTTCAGTCATGCTAGTGAAACGACGACCATGTGGTGGAGCGTCACCGACGTGGAAAAGAACGCGGATTTTATTTTGCCAGGTCATTTGGTTTACGGCTGCATCAAGACCTCCTAGGACGTCTTCAGGGATATCTCCACCACCCATGGCTAAAACAGTAGATAAGTCATTTTCTAAATTCATGCATGAGTCAGTGAAGGGGAAAATCAGCAGGCGGTCAGCACCATCGCAGTAGTCGCGATAGCCACAGAAACCGACACGAATTTTAATACTCGGTTTCATATCTTCCATGTATTTTGCCACATTAAGGATACAGTTCTTAGCAGCATCAATATGGCATGCCATAGAACCGGTACAATCCATAACAAAACAAAGATCGACTTCCATTTAATAAAAATCAATAATTAAAAGATCTCTCTTTAAGAATGATTTCGTTGAGGATTTATTAGTTAAAACAGAAATCTATCAGGTGTTGGCGTCTATACTTATTTTCTTAATTTATGCTGCAATAAATAGATCTGTAAGGAAATTCTATACAGAAGAAATTCGGAGAACGGAATTAACCCTCAATGAAATCCTATTTTGAATAAATATCAAATGATGCTGGTTATCTACTTATCTACATTTCTACAATGAACAATTTGAACAATTTGAACAATATTAAGGAGACATTGATTGTAATGACAAATGAATGTTTAAAGTTTACCCAAGCAAAATATTGATCAATTTCTCTTAAAAAATTTCTCACGGCTTTTTTTGGTAATCTCACATAAATTAGAAATTGTGTGCATGAGGCTAACTCTGCATATATGTTATTCATTTTTAATTTGAGAAATAATGGGTAAATAAAGTGATATTTGGTTTGTTGTGATAACATTATTCTGGTGATAAACTGATAATCACATTTTTTTTATACAAAAAGCGTTAAGATACGGTTTGCAGTAAAGAACATTAATATTTTTTCGCCATGTCTCCTTTAAATTATTTCAATTATTTCTTTAAAAAGGAGACAGATAACTATTCTCAAACGAAAAATAGAACAGAAGAGGTTGGTAACGATGACGGAATTACACCTTATTCTCCTCAAACTAGGAAAGAATTATCATCCGATGATTATGAGGATCCCAAACAAGTAATAAAAAGGCTCAAACACAAGAAAGATGAATTTAAATTAGAGTATAATTTATTAAAAAAAGAATTAAGGGAAGTGAAAGGTAATAATGAAGAATTAATAAAGTTACGCCGTAAGCTTGACAGTAATTTGTCAAAAGAGAAAGCATCTAAGGAACAACTGGAACAAAATCATACAAAAGCAAAGAAAGAATTCGACTCAAAATTAAAAAGCTTAGAAAGTGAAGTAAAATTTTATAAACAGCGTTATGAAGAACTTGCATTTAAAAACCGAAATATGGAGCAAGCATTTGTTAACGAAAAGAAACAACTGGAGCAAAATCAAACAAAAGCAAAGAAAGAATTCGACTCAAAATTAAAAAGCTTAGAAAATGAAGTAAAATCTTATAAACAACGTAATGAAGGCCTCGCATTGCAAAAACGAAATGTGGAGCAAGAATTTGATAGAGAGAAACGAATTATGGAGCAAGAATTTGTTAGGGAGAAAGAAAATTACGAGAGGAATATCGATAATTTAGAACTAAATATAAAGAAACAAAAGAAAATTTTCGATCAAGCATTGCAACAATCACAAGAAAGATATAGTAAGAATCTTAATAATATACAAAAAAAATTAAATGATAAGGGAAACGGCTTACGTGAATTAGAAGAAGAAAATGCCAAACTTAGAGAAGAGGCCTCTAAATATCAATCAGCCCTCGGTGTAGCGACAAATACTCGGCTTGGTGACGATGATCAAAATCATTCGGTTAAATTCAAACAAGACATCTTAAATTTACAGAAATCATTGGAAAATTATGTTACTCACTTGAAACCTAACATGGATATCGATATTGAAAAAGTAAATAACCTTGCGAAAGAATATGGATGTTTCAATGAAATTACTGAGGCAGATAAACTCTTTATTAAAGCTATTTTACAACGCAAAATATTAGATCAAGTACAAGATTATTCCTTTAGATTATCTGAATATCAAGGTTCAAATGTCGCACTTGAATTGAATATTGATATAAAAACGCGAGAATTGTTAGAATTAATCGACAACCTCTCGAAAACTCGCGTTGGCACTGACAAAGTTATTGACGCTGCGGCGATAAAAATCCGTCAAGAAGTTTATGGAATACTTGGTAATCGCGGATTCAATGATATAATTGATCTTGATGATGATGGAACTTCTAAAACTTTTACGCATGATCTCATAAATTATGCTAGCCATGAACTAAATAAAATGATGAATCAGTATCGAAAAATCAATGATAATGATAGAAAAAATAAAATTGAAGCCATGGCACCGAAACTTATTCAAGATATTTACCAATTATTTTGTTTTCGTCTACATGTTCAAGAACCGATCGCGGAACCTCTTTTGTTTGCAAAGAATACTAAAATTGATCCAAATAAAATGAACGGAAATTGGGACGATGATGATATCAATCAATTACGTGTAGGTATTTGTTATTTTCCTCTCATTGGGAGAGATTTGACGTCTTCAAACATAAAAGTGTATACAACTGCAAAAGTATTTTCACGAGCTGCCATTAGTTCAAATGAGTCCGACGAAGATGTATCATAAAGCAGCATGATTTTAGGAATTTTCAAACTTTAGAATTTACGATGTATTACCGTTTTTTTTATAAAATGCGAAATAGCATATATAATATATATATATATATAACAAATAAAACGTTTATTTTTTATCAAATTTTTTTAAAAAAATAAGAATTCTAGTAAATATTGCAACAGAAAAAATAATGTCAAAAAAAAAAGAATCCTAGTAAATATTGTAACAAAAAAAAAAAATAATGTAAAAAAAAAATTTCATTCGTCGTCTTGTAAATCAAAGGAAGTTTGATAAGTTTGACCATTATTTTCATTTTGTGCTGTCGCCTTGAGTTCCATTTTACCAAATGCCAATTTAAAGGTAGTGGGTCTGTCCATCACATGTTTATCGTCTGACCAATCAATTTTAAGTTTTCCAAATAATTTCATTCCTGTTTCTTCACAGGTTCTCGCTGAAAAACTACGTGTGAAATAAATTTCAAATAACCCAGTGCTTTGAAACGGATGACTGGGTTGAACCCTAACACTAAATGCTTCATTGATTCTAACTTCATCTCCTCTCTTTGCTAAACTTTTAAAAAGAAATCCTTCGCCGGATTTATAAACTCTGATCCCATAAGTATATCTTAATATACGTGAATCAATAATAGAGAATTGACCATCCATATCTAACATATCTGTTTCACTAAAGCTTTTGCCATAGATTGCTGCGCCACGAGAAATTGCTGCGATCGGATTGTTAGGGACTGAAATATTATAACCTGAAAATTCTTCTTTAATTCTTTTTTGCAAATACGCTGACTGACTAAATCCCCCAACCAAAAAAATTATATTAGTCTTCCTTTTTTCAGGAGTTATAAGAACTCCAGAAGTATTTTCAATTTGAGTATGCATCATACGTAAAATTCTTTCAACGACCGGGTCAAACATTGATTTGATTGTGTTGTAATCAAGTTTAATTAACCATTCAGCAGCTTCCATTCTTTGTCTCCTTTCACCGCTCACATACTGTAATAAAACTGGAGAAACTTCTTCAAGATTAATTTCATAACAAAAATTTTGATCATCTCCTGTAAATGGTAATTTGGCGTTTTGACAAAATGATTGAACCAAAAATTGCATTTGTCCATAGAAATTATCTCTTAATAAATTTATAGCTTCATTTCCGAGTTCTCTCCTTAAATACTTAATAAATTCTCCATCGACAAAAGAACTTCCACAAAAATCACCTATTCTCTCTGTAACTTCCCCTAAACGATTTCCGTCTAGCAATTTTCGAGTTGTCAAATCAACTGTGCCACCACCACAATCGACAATCATGAAGATTGCTACAAAAAAAAAAGATGAGAAAAGAAAAAACGCCATCAGTTAATATAAATAAAAAAATTGATTTTATCTTCTCATCAAAACAGTACATACTTCCGCAAGTTAAATCATGTTCTCCGAGACTATCTCTGCAATGAATCGCTGCGGCTTCAGCTGTATAATTAAAAGAAGTTACGAATTTCGTTGTAAATAATAATAACGATAATTAATAAATTATTTATGCATTTATGCATTTACACTTACGTTCCGTAGTAAATTGTAATTTATCGGAATTTCTTTCATCAATTAACTCAGCCTGATGAACACAATCTCTCATTATAGCTTTTGCTTTTTCCGAATATTCGGCGGGAACAGTAAGGACTAGAAGAACTTGTTCAAAAAATTTAGTTTCGTCAAAATGAGGCCAATCTTTTTTAATCGTCATCTTGATCCACTATGTATAATAATAATAATTATAAATAATTAATAAGTATAGTCAAATGCGATAGTTAAGTAATAATAAATCGTCTTTACACGCTTACCTTTCCAATTTCCCGAAGATAATCAACGATTGTTTTTTTATATTCCAAACCATTTGGAAGGTTCGGTTTAAGACTATCATTCAAGTCACCTAAATGCAGTTTAAATAATTCTGCTACATATTTTTGTTCATTAATATCAAAATTTCTTTTTGGACGTTTAGCTAACGCAGGATATCCCCATGATTTGACATTCAAATTTTCATCATATTGTAATACTGTATTAGTTTTGAATTCACCCTTAAAACAATATAAAAATCAAATATATATATAAATGCGGGTTAACAGAATGGAAAAATAACAAATAAAGGGATATACCGTCGCTCCAGGCCATTCAGTATTTGTTTTGATTGTTTTATCGTCTTTATGACAATAAGAGAATCCCTATTAATAAATATCAAATCATTTTGAATGAGACTGATTTGATGAATTTTAAACGCAATAAGCGATTTATAAGGAAATGAAAGCTTACAGAAAACGTGGTTCCAAAATCTTTGAAAGCGTCAAATGTAAAAATTTTATTTAATTGAATGAGATGTTAATAAACGAAATATGTACTGTACTTAACGTACCTAAACCGACGACGAAACGAATATCCCACGACATTTTGTAAGAGTTTAGGATGACGTTATGGCTATGATGAGAAAATTCGGGATACCAATTCTATCTTTATCATATTTATAAGGAACAACATGCTCGATTTACGAGATTGTGATAATATCGAATATATTATGTACTGTATTTTTATGATGGTGATTTTTTTTAATGTGCTTATTAAGGTTTCCATTTTAGAATAAAGTTTGTGACTTTTTTTTCAAATGCCTTTAAATGACGGTTAATGGGCTCAATGATAAGCATATAATTGCGTTTTAAAAAATAGGCTGTGTACAATACATCTGCAGTTTTGATTGATTTCATTTGGATTTCATTTTGTTTTTCATTTATGTAGGGATAAAATAAAAATGATGTACGTCACATGATTTAATAAAAGCTTCAAAGGGACCTTTTTTGAAATCGTTAAAAAAGGAAAAAATTTTTTTTTTTTTTTTTTTTTTAACAAAAAAGATGCCTTTAAGTGATGACATTCGCGTTGTGGTGGCTATCGGTAAGTTTAAATCTAAAATAATTATTAATATTATATTTTTTATTTTTAACATGATATGAAAGCAAAAGTACTAATTTATTTTAACTAATTTCAGATTTTGGAACTACTTATTCCGTAAGAATTTATTTATCTTTAAACATTCATGAAAAACTAATTAATATCATTTTTTTTTTTTTAATTTATTCTTAAAAATTAAATAACTATAGGGATTCGCATTTGCTCATAAAGCCAATCCTAAAGATATCATAACACAAGATTATTGGAATGGACGCGAAGGAGAAGGATTGTTTAAAACGCCAACGGTCATAAAATATGATGATTCCTACGAAAACGTAGAATCGTGGGGTTTATCCGCATTGACAAAAAAATCACATAGGTCTTTTCAAACCTCATCAAAACCACTCAAGTGGTTTAAACTATATTTATTGGGAAGTGCGTTAACATACGAAAAACCATTCTTACCAGATGTATTGGATTATAAACAAGTCATTACAGATTATTTGGAAAAGTTAGGTGAAGGTATTAAAAGTAGGTTAAAAATGCATTGGAACGATGTGGAATTTGATAAACAAGTTGTAGTTGTTCTAACGGTAGTGTAAAAAAATCAAAATTTTTTTTTGAATTTTATGCAAATGATTGAAATTCTTTCTTAATTGGGTTTTTTTTTTTTTTATCTAAAGATCCCTGCAGAATTTGATGACGATGCGATTGCAATCATGCGTAAATGTGCGTTTAATGCGAAATTGATTCCAACGGAATATAGTCAAAATTTGAAATTTACAACAGAACGTAAGTTGAACTTAAATGTAATGAATGGGAGTTTAAAATATAATTCGGGGCAAGAAAAAATCGGCTTCGAAAATTTATCATGTGGCCGAAAATCATGCATCGTATTGGTTAAATATCACGTGAACGCGAATTTAACTGTAAATTCTTACAAATTTTATTTAATTTAAAGCCGAAGCTGCAGCGATTAACTCCATGGATACCCTAAAAAATGAACATAAATTGGGACCAGGAGGTTAGTCTTTTACTATATTAAATATGTTGTAATTCATTTAAGCAAATAAAAACAAAAAATTCAATGAAATTTTTTTATTTATACAATTAGACTTGTTCATGGTGGTTGATTGCGGCGGTGGCACAGTAGATTTAACAACGCAAGAATTATTAAACGACGATGAATTAAATGAAATAACAGTACGTACTGGCGATGATTGTGGTTCATATAATATAGACCGGTCATTCATAGAATTTCTTGGTGATAAAGTCGGAAAGTCTGCCATGGATCTCTATGAGAAAGATCATTACGTTAATCTACAAAATATCGTACAAAATTTCTGTCAGTTTGTTAAATTGCCATTTACGGAAAACCCAAAAGATTTTCAACCTTTTCAATTAGATTTAGAAGATAAGGAATATGAACCACTTAGAAAATATATTAAGGAAGAAGAAGAAGAGAAATTAAAAGAAAAAGAATGGTTAATCGAATTGGAACATGACGATGTCAAAAAAATGTTTGACCCTGCTGTAGAAAGAATTTTTAAATTAATAAAAGGTCAATTGGAACAATTGAAAAAATTGAAAAGAAAAATTTCTATATTGTTGCTAGTGGGTGGATTCGGCATGTCTAAATACTTACAAAGTAGAATTAGAAAAAAATTTTGGGAAGATGACGTGCCAAAGATTTCTGTGCCTGATCTACCTATTATATCTATTATGAGAGGAGGTAAATATGATTTTATTAATTTTATTTCGCTTTAGCATAACGATATGTATTTATATTTTAATTTTTTTAAGCTGTCAAATATGGTCTTACAGGAAAAATTAAGAAACGCGTATTGAAATGGACTTATGGTATTTGATTTAACTATATCGTTTAACTCGATTTAACTTCTTTAAAGGAATTATTTAAATCTTTCTTTTGTGTTTCTTAGGTACTATCGCAGTAAGAAAATGGGAACCGACTGATCCATTGGAATTAAAACTTCCAAATGGATATATAAAAGTTTTTGAAAAACTTGCGGAAAGGAGCCATCAAGTTTCAACGGTTGAAGAAGTTACCAGATTTTTTAAACCATATTCATTAAGTCAACAAAAAATGAATATTGATATGTATATTACAACATTAAATGATGCAAAATATTTACGAGATGTAAAGCTATTTCGAAAATGGGAAGTTAACTTGACAGGGGTAGATGATTATGATGATGATAATACAATTACATTTACTTTGAAATTTGGTGAGATGGAAATGTTTGCTACTGCTAAAAATAAGGCTGAAGACGTACAGCAAGTTACTTTTAAATATAATTTAGAAGCACCTTTAAATAAAATGTCTGGTATAATAAGGTCGGAAACATTGTAAGAACATATAAGTCTCTGTACATGTGATTACATGTAATTTTACGCGTAATAATTAAAAATTTTAAATAAAATATTTGATATTTATACTATCATTTCGATTTTGATGTTCTTTATTTAATTTTGATGCATAACGTTCAAGCTATTAATATTTAGTAGTAACCAGTTGAGCGAGCAATCCAAAGAAATCTTTATAATATCCGGATTATAACTCCGAAAATAAAATATTCAAATATCCCGTTCAAAAAAAAAAAAAATAAAACCGATAATAATGATCTTTCGAATATTTTCTAAATTTAGTATATTTATCAAATTTAAAATAACGCTTTTGACGCGTTCATATATTTTATATCAAATTACTACTTTTCGGTGGTTTAAATCTTTTGAATCCTCTTTTAATTACAAACGAAACATTTCATTTATATAAATTCAGATACCGTAAACATTGTTAGTTAATATTCGACAAGCCGTGATACCCTAATTAAATACGTAATAGTGAATAAATTATGGCAATTAATATCCTTTTTTATCATAATCTTTTAATACCACATTTATTCAAAGGAAATAATGAAGGAAAACTATCAGAAAACAATAGTTACTTTCATCTAATTTTGATGATATCAGTAATGCTAGTAATGATATTGCTAGTAATACTGAGAATATTAAAGTAGATATTATTAAGCGTAGAATTGATAATTGAATTTCATTTTAGATGAGAAAAATATAAATTTGCACATATAAGATTTTTTTATTGAAAAATATTATTTGGTCAAAAAAGGTAAAATATCTAATTTACCCTTTAATTAGCCTATATAAATGAAATTTTATAAACTTATTTATTTTGCACACAATTAATTTAGAAACAATTTATAAGATTTTAAGAATCAAAAATTTTATTTATAAAATAAATTTCTATATAAGAAATATCAAATAGTGGTTATATAAACTTATCAACTTAAGGTAATATTGGCATTTAGTTGTTTAGCTGGTGTTTAGCTATGATCATTTAGCTCAAAATGACCAAATTTATTTTAAGTTTTGGCCAGCCAAAATATTTGACATTTCAGAATGTTCGAATTCTTGCAATTTTGCAAAATTGGCATCTTTAACATTTAGAATATTCAATTTATTACAATTTTACAAAAATTGATATCTTTAACTTCAGAACATTAAAATTCTTGCAAAATTGCAACTAATTGAATATTTTGAACATTAGAGATAAGATTACTAGATGAAATCTAAAGGTTTTATCATCTAAATAGTAAAAAGTAAATTTAGTAAAATTATATTAAAACCTTATTAAAAAATCTGCAAAATTCTTAAACTTATAAAAATGTGAAACTATATCAAAATCTTAATAAAAAATTAGTAAAACTAAGTTTAAATATTTTGTCAAATTCAAAATGAGTTTAGATAAGCAACTTTAATTAAAGGTATCAATTTTTTGCATTTGCAAATAAACTGTAACCATATAACTTTTAGTTAATTTAGCTTATTAGTAATTTTAGCTATAGCTAAAGCAATAAAAAATAATCATTAACTATAGCTAAATGCCAATTGAATTTTGGTCACTAATTTGGCTAATCAGCTAAAATTAGCTAATGATCAAAAAATTAGACTTGATCATAGTATTACATAAGATACATAACTTCAATTAAAATCACAAAAAAGGTAAATAAACTATAACAATTATTTAAGAAATTAAGGGTAAAAATTTACAGTAACGTCAAAATTATTCTCAATATAAAATATATAAAATAAATATAAATAAATATAAAAATATTTTAAAGATTATGATTCAGAAACTTTAAGTCAATATAGTGAATCAATATAATATTATATAATAAATTTATTAACAATTAAAAAAATTGCAAATAATTGCAAAAGAATTCACGAATAACTTTAAATAATTTTAAATAATTATAAATAATTGCAAATATTATGAAGAATAAGTTTTATATTAGTTAATTACAATCAGAACTTAATATAATGAACTTGTTAGTTTAATGATTTTGATTCATTATAATGAGGATTCAGAATAATGAATTTTTCTTGATATATCGATTTAAATAATAAAAAAGATAAAAGTTCATAAATGCAATGTGATTATTATTTGTTTATTATTTATTATTTGTATATTGTATACTATACTATTTCTTATTTGTAAAATTTGAGAATAAAAAAAAATCTAATTGAAACTAATAAACTCATTTATATAATTGGGATTGAAGATTTTGATTATTTATTTTTTTAAGATAAAGTTCTTGCTTTTGTTCTATAAACAATGTATTACTTTTTTTTTAGAAGATATAGTAAAAAATGATCAATAAAAGAAATAAAATCTTGAATTTATATTTATATTAATTTATTTAACATTTGATATTTACTATATTAGTATAATTTAATATATTAAAAAAAAGTGAAATTCATTAAATCAAAAAAAAAATTCATTTTTTATAATGACCATTGGTATAACAAGAAAAAAATCATTATCAGTTTATCATGAATAAATAATTATAGCTAATTTATAACCAAAGTTTGGTATATACAATATTGCAAAATTTATAATAAAATTACTATATAGTAATAAATTTTATTATAAGTGATTTTGTTTAAGAAAAAGTTCATTATAGGTCAAAATTAATTTATTGTAAATCGCTATATTGAATTCTGACTATATATTCCTTTATTAATATAATAATAAGTTTATTATCTAAAGAATAATATTTTATTAGTTTATCTTTATCAGAAAAATAAAAATATGTAATAAAATATAGAGATATTTAATAAAATACATAATAATATAGTTCAATCAATCTTAATATAAATAAGTTTGTTAATCAATTCACTCCTCTGTATACTATATGTTTTAATTGTAAATATTGTCAACGGAGCAATTGACCAGTCATAATGAAGTCACGTGGATGACGTAGTATAATGATCTTTTAATCTAGAATTCTGAAAATACTGAGAATTCTGCGAATTCTGAGAATACGGAGGATCTATGTAATTCTAAAGATCTTTCAAATACTGATGATAATCCTAATTTACGAATTAGATGAAGTCTAAGAATATTTAGTGTTATACTTATTCTTAATATTCTAAATTTTATTCTTATTTTTAGTATATTTTATATTTTTATTATTTCACATATTTTTATTATATTTATTTTACTTATATTTTATTTTGCTAAATTAGTTAATTTATAGCATAGTAATTAGTTAGCCGTACCAAAAGAAATTTTGTATAAATAGATAGACTTTTTGCTCATGTTGTAAATTAACTCTCTTGCAAATACGAGTTTCAATATTAATAAAGGAATCATTTAAAACTTATATCTTTCTGCCTCTTCGTATCTTCATATAGTCTGATGTAATCCTTACACATTATTTGTAATTGAGTTCGTCATCTGAATTCTTTAAATAAATTGTTCATAATCTCGTCTTTCAAGTCTTCATATTTGATAGATTTGTTTAAATCTAACGTGTAAATTTAGTAAAATTAAAAGTTAGGCGGATCCTAACGTCTTAACCACAGTAGACCGCAGTTAGAAATTTTGAGTAGAGACTTGATAACGTGACCACCCCAAGCTGAAGAATTCCACAGTGACAATAGTAATATTATTAAAAGATGCTTGTGGAATGTATTTAGGTGGCTGAGGTTTGTAAATCTGATGTAAAATCTGTTTGTTTAACCATTTTTTTACTATAGCTAAAGTAAACTCATATCCAATCTTTTTACAGGTATTCTGCATTTTTTCAGCAGTCTAATAATATCCCTTAAGTTGGTAATAAAATTCTTACAAAGTAAGATCCTAGTCAAGATAACATATTTTTTGAGAATCTATATAAATTAAAAGTTCTCTTATTCTCTTTTGAAAAAAATATATCATTTTGCAGATCTTATCTAAAACAGAGAAGAACATATGAAGAACATAAAGCTGAGCTGAAAGAGAAGAATTATAATCTTTATAGTGAATTTCAGACAGAGATATATATTAATTATTAAAATAAGAGATGAATTAATCAACTGAAATGAGATTATTTCTATTGTAAATAAGAAATCTAAAACTTTAATAGAAAATAGAACATCTTGAAAATGTTTTGAAAGAAGAGATAGTAAAATTAAAATCTGAAATCTCTAATCTAAAAAATTAGCTATATCAGGCTAAAAAAATATACAAGATAAGGATAAGTATATCTCTTCTTTAGAAAGAAAATTATTAAAGTCTGAAGAATAGGTTGAAAAATTATAATACTGGATCAAAAGCATCTCATCATGAAAATATTTGTTAGAATGTAAGAATTCTCCAGACTTATATAATCTTAATATTAACTTAAAAATAGCTACCATTATAGAGCTAACAAATACTATAGATAGTTATGTGAATAATAGAATAATAATTAGAGATATTCTGATAGATCAAATAAAAAGGATAATAAGACAAATTCACTGAAAAGAGAATAATTTGCATCAGGATTTAGTCTATGAGTAAAGAAAGAAATATAATATAGAGACTGAGTGAAATTTTGCTAAAAGAGTGATAAATAGGGTTTTTAGTGATTTTAGCAGTTGCGAGTTAATGCCCAAAGTCAAATAAATAGAATGTTAAGTAATATAATAGAAAGGTGAACCCGTATTGATATATTATTACAGAAAAAATTTGTCTTATAGTTATTGTATCAGCGAAATGCTCACTATCTACAGTAAAGTAGAAGAAATATAGGTTTATTAGAGTATAATCAAGATAGGCTTTATAAGCAATATGAAAAATAGAAAAATAAAACCTGTGATACTCAGCAGAATATTTTTAAATTTGCAGGAACAAATGTTGGCATAACAGAATAATCCATCTAATCAAATAAACATGATAGAAATCCTACAACTATTTCTTGACTAGAATAGTAGTATTTCAGATTTTCTAGAGAAACTAAGATTATATTTGCAAAATTAAGAGGTAGATCTAGCAGATAATGTGAGAGGTCTACCTATAGGAAGAGAAGTAGCTATAGGATATTTAAGAAGCTGTATAAGAGGAAGAGCCTTAAAATAGTTTGATAAAAAGATTACTACAAAGCAGAATTGGAAATTAGCAAACTTATTTGATAATATAAAGCAGGCTAACTTAGTAACAGTAAATAGTAAAGATGGATACTATAATTAAAATGTTGCAACATTTAATGTTACAACATTATATTGCAACAATATATAAATTCTTTAATAATTATAACATGTTATAATTTAGAAAATGTTGCAATTTAAAATATAAGTTATAATTAGCTATAACTTGAAATATAATTAATTACAAATTTTTAAGAAATAATTTTAAATAAAATTTTAAATAATATATACAGTGTATTATAAATGTTTTTGAATAAATTGATTTACTTATTACGCAGCAACAGATTATCTAAATCACAAACTAGTTTATTTAATCGATTAAAAATACAAAATTATATTTTAAAAGTTAATAAGAAATTCTTTTTCCAATTTTTTTTTATTATAAGTTTACATCGTTCTCTCATAAAATATACTAAATTAATAAGAATCACATTTAAAATATTATTCTATTCTTCCATCTTAAATTGTTCTAATTTTGCTAAATTTTTTGGTTGTTATTTTTCTACATTTCCTTTTATAATATTTCACAAGTTTTTTACAGAATTGAGATCCAGTTTTTTTAAGTTTATTGATATTATAATAAATCGTAGACCTTGGAATGTTTGTTTTTTTTGAATTACACTTGCACTTATAATTTCTTTATCCCAAAAATGTTTTACAACTTTACGTGTGAATTATGTGACTTAGTTATATTTTGGCCACCTATCATTAGAAAAAAAAAATTAATTCAGCGACAAAAAATTAAAAAATATCTTGTTTATATATCATCTTGCAAAATCATGTGTGATTTGTGTTCTGCTATACTAACTTTATTTAAACGATCAAATGTCCAGACTTTTGTAACACACTGTATATTATTTTTTTTTTTAGAATTTATTTTTTTAGGACTCCGATCTGAAGTTTGATCAGAGTAAGTTCTAATAGAAAAATGCGTTAGTTCTTATTTTTATTTAAAAATACTAATGTTTTTTTTTTAAAAAAAAAAAACTAGAATTACCTTGTGAAATGAACCTAAATCTTAAAATTTTAAAGTCAAATCAGAAGTAAGTTCTAAAGAATAATTTGTTAATAAATTTTTTTTATTATTTAAAAAGGCTAACAACATTATTACTAATAATATACTACTTACCTTTGTAGACCAATCCAGATCCTAGAAATATTGACGGAGGTAAGCTCTAACAGAATTTTTGTTAATATTTTTTTTTTTAATTTTTAAAAAAAGCTTATATTCATTTACTGATCCGGAATCTATAAACCTTGGAATATTAAATCGGAGGTAAGTCTCTATTGGAGAAATTTGTTAGTTTCTTTTTTTTAAAAAACTAACACTAAGCTTACCTTTATAAGACAGTCCAGATCCTTGAAGCCCTGAATTAGAATCGATTGGAGATAGGGTTGTTAAGTTACTGTATCTTATAAAGTTCTGTGTAACTTATTGAATTTGGTGTGTAACTTACTGGTAAGTTACGTATCTTAAAAAATAAAAATAAAAAATGTGATTAGCGATTTCCTATTAAAAATTTTTTTACAAATATGTAGTTTTCAACATTGTAAACGCGATATTTTTTGTATTTTTTGTTATTTTCAATTAAAAGGTGATTATTGGCAAGGATATAATATACAACTTAATTCTCAAGGAAAGCAGCATTATAAATGTAAAACATGTGACAAACAGTGGGTAAAAAATGCATCACAGTTGCTAAGTCACTATAACTATTATGCGTTGTGGGCTCCTTCAGCTAATATAACAGAAACACCTACTCCTTTACCTGAACAAACTTTTAAACAATAACAAATGACAATAAATAGTTTTATTACTAAAATGACGGCAGCTGACCAAAAGGAATTAGAAAGTTTGTTTGTGCATGCAATTTATTTCACAGGTATTCCTTTTAATATTCTTAAAAACGAAGATATAAAAGCTTTTTTTACAAAAGCTTGTTCTTTATTCAAATTACCTACTTGCCAAAGCTTTTTAATCACTCTTCTTGATCAAGAATGTAAGGATATCAGGATTGTTACAAATCATTTACTTAATGAAACACAATATTTTTGTCTCATAACTGATGGATGATCTAATATTAATAAAGATCTTATTATCAATTATATGATTACTACACTGAAACCTATTTTTATAAGTCAATTCCTACTAAAGGAGAATGTCATTCTGCAGAAAATATTGCGCAGGATATAAAACTTACAATAGAACAAGCAGATATTAATAAATTTGCAGCTGTCATTACTGACAATGCTCCTAATATAAAAGCTGCATGAAGGATTCTTAAAACTGAATATCCTAATAAAGTTTTTCTTGGTTGTTGGGCACATGGTATTAATCTTTAGATAAAAGATATTTTAAAAATTGATTAGGCTAAATCAATTTTAGAAAAAGGAAAGGAAGTTGTACAATATTTTCGTAATCATCAAATTCCTTTAGCAACACTTCATTGGCTTCAATTAGAAAAGTATAGACGTATAATTGCTTTAGTATTAACTATTAAAACATGATAAGGATCAGCTTTTTATTGTATTGATCATATTCTTCAAACTAAAGCAGCTTTGCAATCTATTTTGGCTGAAGAAATAGAAATTAATGAAAATATTATACTTAATCTTAGTAGCGAAAGTTTTTGAAAAGATTTAAAAGATTTACATAACCTATTAAAACCCTTTGTTATCTTTATTAATCAACTTAAAAGTGATGAACCATTTCTTTCATCAGCATTTGTTAAATTACGAGAATTGGAATCTGAAATTAAAAACAATACAATTATTCCAAAACAAGTTCAAAATGATATAATTGATTTCGGCAAAATACGTTAGAATAACTTTATGTATAATCCTGCAATTATGGTTGCATATAAATTAGATTCACAATATAAAGGTAGAATACTTGATATACAATAATAGGATAATATTATTGAAGAAGAAATTATTAAACTTGCGGGAGAAGAAAATACTAGTCAAGTATTAAATAAATTAGCAGAATATATTAGCCAAACAGGTAGATTTGCAAAAAGACATTTGTGGGGTAATATTCCAGGAGGGACCGTCCCCTGTTACACAAAATTTCCAAATCTAGTAATGAGATGATGCATTGATCAACCAATCGAAATCGTGATTTTTGAAATGAAATCACGTGATTTAAAAAGCCCATCATATTAAATTATTAATTAATCAAGAAATTAAATCATAAAAATATATTTATTACGCATGATGTAAATAATTAATTGAAATATATGTATAAATATATAAAAATTTTACATTTTTAAAAATAATTCTTTTGTGTGTTC